ATGTGGCAAAACTAAAGATCATGGTAACCAGTGCCATCTTAAAGAAATAAAGCCCAAAAACCTGCAAAACACAAAAACTGAGAGGAACCATCACTTCGCATGGCATAAGCAAGAAGTTATTTTAACCTGATGACTTCCCTGCTCTAAACTTTTAAGCGTAACTTTCACATAGTTTTAAAGCCTGGGGTTATTCTGTTAAATGACCTAGTGGCACCCTAAGCGGACAGCAGTGTCCACAACTTCTACAGGACAGTGCAATATGATTAAGCACTAGATTTCTAGGGGAGGCAAAAAAAAGCCCACACCAGCAGTGACTCATTCCATTGAAGAACTTATTACCTGCACTTCCAAAGCAACAGGCTACAGAGATACTGAAAACAAAGCAAACCAGATCCACCTGGAATACTTTGTATTCTCAGCTGAAATTTATAAACTCCTCTTTTCATATTATAAAGGATTGACAGCATTTGTATGCACAGAAACTGCCATTACGAGTGATGCCTGCAGAGCTCCAAGTCATGAATTAAAATATCTTCCTAAAATGTAGCAGTCTTAGCACTTCCTCTAAGTGAGGGAAAAAAAAACTGTAACCAGAAAAGGAGACTGAGGCAATACCAAGCTTTTTTCCCAGACATAAGAAAATCCTGAGAGAACAAAACGTTTGTGCTATGAGAATAAAAACCCAAAGACAAAGAATAGTTCACCTTTCCCCCTGTAAAGTTGTTTTTGAGTGAAGACCTGCCCTTTTCCTCACCCAAGCATGAAACCTCTCTTCAGTTTAAGACCGTTTTCAAAATCCTGAGTGAAGCAGAAATCAAGCGCACACACTGGAACATGTACAGAATCTTACTGGTAACAGAAAAACAACACAACACATAGTATTACGTTGGCTAGAACACTTCAAGTGTTCTGACAAAAAGACTCAGCTTATTGCTAGGAAATAAAGCATTTGGAGCCCAAACCAACATTCCAATCAAATGCCAAGTTCAAAGAAAAAGAGTATATTTTTAATTGTATCTAAAAAAAAAAAAAATAAAAAAAGCTGGAGAAGGAAATGGGGGCAGAAATGAAAATCCATCCAGGGAGTCAATGGCATAGCTTGTCATCATGCAGTCTGAACATGACAATTGCAGATATTCAGAACAAGCAAGTCCAAATACCACATTCCCTGGGAGAGAGGAGGGAGTCTCTTGCCCTTTTCACCGGCTATAGTAAGAAGTTTTCAATGTATTTCAAGGCAAGACCCAGCTAGCAGAAGGCAGAGTTTCTGACAGATAAAGCAAGGCAAAAGGATCTTCCTTGCAGTCTCTTGCTCCTGAGCCCCCTTCTTCAACTCCTCTTCTGGTGGCAGGAAGGCAAAGCATGTCCTGTCTCTGTGAGCCTGTGCGCTCCTTGGCTACGGTAAGAGCAGGCACCTGTGATTCCTTCTCCAAAGACATTTACACATTGAGATCAGTTGAATTCTGCATTCTGAAAGCATAAGCTGCAGTGGACATGATTTAGAATCAGTTACTTTTTTGCCCATCATGACAAAATAGAAATGGCAATTCCTTACTTTACAGACATTCTCTTGATGCAGCAGTTGCTCCAAACATCTGTCAAGTTTTTATATCCCAGGAGAACAGATGCAGCCAAAAGAATGTTTATTCTAACTCCTCTGAACTTCACAAGCAGGCAGGGGCAGCTCCCAATTCAAACATACACACAGCAACTCCCAGTTCAATTAAGGATACACAGCGCCACCTCGTGGTGAAAGCAGTCACCACTGACGTGGATGAGAAGTACCACCAGCCTTTTTCTTTACTCCCCCCAAACACGAGCCAGGTCTGCTCTGTCTCTCCTCGCTAGCCAAATACTATTACAGTGTCTTTACTACAAGAAAGCGTATCTACCAAGCAAAAGACGTCCAAGAGAGCTGAACCTCAAGGCCAGTAGAGCGAAAGGCTGCTGAGTATCAAACAGATGCATCCACTTTGAAGAGCTTTTCAGCATTCTCCAGCACTGTACCAGTTCCTGGTGACACAACCTCAAGCAGTGTTTAATCAAATGATCCAGCTTAGTATCTGCCTGTACTTCAAAGAACAGCAATGTCTTGGCTCACGACTTGTCTTTTATATAGACTTGGGTCATCAACAAATGCAACAGATGCAGAAAAACTAAAGACCGACTTTCCACCCCATCAACCAGTTATAAAAACTAACTTGTGCACTTACATAACAAAACACAGTAACTAAAAGAAAGCCTTTCATTCAGGACAGATTAGTGCATCTTTACAAGAATGTAATGACTTCAACTGACAAAGTCAGCATCATCACTAGCAGCGCACCTTTCCTGAAGAGGAAATCCCTGTCTGTTATCAAATATCAACTGCAAGAGCGCGTAAACAAAATAAACAACCAACAAACACACCCATACCCCAAAAGCTCTATTTATATTATATTCTATACATATATATATACATATGTCTTCATAGATGACAACTGTATCGATTTATACTTCAGGTCCTTCTCCTCCAGGAACCAGCTATAAAAGAATAAGACAATTGTGTGTTAGTGCCATAGATTAAAGTTTTACAAACTCGTATGCGACTGTTCTTCCTTTAGAAGATTTTAGCAGATGGAGACTTCATGGTAGACCACAAAAACGGTGTTTAGATTTTATATTATCTTCCTCTGGCAACAGAAGTCAGTTACTACCAGAGAAACACATGCCAAAAAGAACCTCCAAAATACAAAGACTGTTTAACAAGACACAAAGGAGTTCCTAGATAAGACACGGTTTGGGTTTTGTCTTTGTTATTCACTTCAAGGAGATTTTTTTGTCTAGAAACACTACAGCTTGTTTTCAGAAAGACATAGAACTTCTTTCCCACTTTCAGAAATCATGTGGGATTTCTCCAATTGCTCATTCTTCCCCAGACTGTCGCTATACTGGGAAGCTGGTTTTCCCCTTCTGAGTTCTATTGCTAAGCACAGCCCAAAAACTAATAGAGCCTGAACCCTTCTACAGGCAGCAGGGTAAGTCAGCACAGCATTCTCCTGTGAAGAGAGTAAAGAATTTTCTTTAAGTAAACAACTGAACATCAGAAAAAGAAATGGAAAAGGAAAAATATGACTAAGGGGAAAAAAGAAGAGGATCATTTCTTTCACTGACACATTCTTAATAGTTAGCTGAGCACTTCTAAAGACAAAGAGCTCTGCTGCTTTTGGGACCAAAATAAGAAAACATCTAAAGCGTAGTTTCCCTTATGTGGAAAGGTGTGTCCCCAAAACAGACACCAGATCTAATATAGAAACATATTCGTGTCTTACTGAAAATCTGCACTCTAAGAATCCCCAGCTTCTGCTTCGTGGGCAGCATCCCACCAGCTGAACTGGAAGGTAGTACCCCATACAAGGGGTCACAACACGCACTGTTCTTCAAGGACGCAAAACAATAACCAGAAAAAGGATTAAAAATGAAGTCAAGATGGCACTTGCTGAGACACACAGTGAGGAGGCGCAAGGCAGGTACAACAGCAAAACGGAGATTATTCCTCATTCACACAAAGCCAACTGGAGTCTAAGTCAGTCTTCCTCTTATCTTCCTACAAAATTAGGAACACCCTTATGTAGGAATTCCGGACTTCAGCGCAGACAAGCAAAAAACTCTGGGTCTGCTTCTGCAGTACTTAGGAAGTTGCAGACTCCAGTTTAAGGATGCATAATCATAATATCTAATTACTGTTTCAGTACTGATCTACATACATCAGCACATGATAAACAAAACCTGTAGTGCTTTCCATCTGGCATCATCCAACAGGCCTCCAAATCCTTTTTCAGAGCATGTAAAGGTACGCACAGCTCTCTGAGCATCAGGTGGATAATCATCACCAAATCACTCAACAAGCTTGTAAGCATCCAAACTTCTGCAAACACATTTATATACACAATAATGGATAAAATCTATTCCACCTACATACTTAGGCAAGCAAACACTCACAGGAGTTTAAAGCCACTGTATGAACCAGCCTCCAGAGTGGGTAACAAAACCAGTGATTCCATTGCACATCTCAAGACTGGAAAAACAGTCACCTAAGTAAAATCAGGGTCATGCTCTTTTTGTTATTATTCTTTTTAAGCTGTAACATGAGCCAAGTAAGGCAATAATACCACTTTTCCAGCACCACTCATAGACAAATATGCCCTGGAAGGGAAAATACCTTATGCAATGGAATTCTCTGGAAAACTCAGCTTAAAGTAACCTAATTGCTGACAGACTTACAGGTACAGAAAATAAATGCATGCTGCCTTTTAACCACGATGACTTACCATTGTTCTGATACTTCCATTTAACAAAATCTGGTCTAGTTTTGTGATTCTTCTGCCCTCAGGTGTAATCTCACTGAAGCAGCATTAGAAAAAGAACATGAGAACATGTAACCAGGGACAATGATTCACGTTTTGATTACAGAACTGACAAACATCTCTGCATTAAGATGACAATTGCTGGAACTAATGAAGAAATCACCCACCCTGAGGTGTAACTGACCACCTGGGTAAAGAAAGCTACCTGGCAACTATAAAGTTCCATTGTACTTTTCTGCTCAGTACATAAAGACACAGATTCACCCTGTAAATCCTGGCAATTTCTTGAATACCACCAACACTCAAAATAGGTTTCAAATATAAACATGGCACAGCAAAGTAATAAATACTTAACTTTACGTCTGCCAGCTTTTTAAATCTTTGCTTAGACGTTAAGAAAATGTAAAAGCAAACAACCAGCTAGTTCTACACACAAGCCATGCAAAATTAAGGCTACAAAATAGGAACCTGATTACAAGTATATATCATGCAACAGCTACTCTATGACACAGCTGTCCTGAATACATCACCACTATAGTTGAACTCCAAGATATAAACTATTCAGCTGGCAAGTATTCAAAAAAATATAAATCCACTTTGCTTATAGATTTTATACAATATTTTTTTCCTCAGGAAACTAAATAGAAATAATGCTTAGAAATCTGTAACATCTTCTAACACCACATCTGAATACCCAGCTTCAAAGAAAATAAGGCCCAGTCTTAAAATCAAAATAAAGTTATTTTCATTTTTACTGAACTGTGATTCTATCTGTAAAATAAAAACACCAGAATAATACAACCCACCCATACAAAAAGTTTCTATCCAGTGAACTCAAACCTCTCCTCTCACATACGACAAATGAATTGAGCAGAAGCATAAAACATTTCCATCAAAGGATACTGACAAAGTCATCAAATCCTAGAAGTGTTCCAACAACTTCTTTATCACTCTTCATCACAACATGAATGCGGGAGCCCATGCATTTGCCCACGAGCTCTGCAAATAAAAACAAACAATAAAGTTGAAAGGGACAAGAGACTGTTTTATAGAACAAGACATTCATCTGAACAAAACCCCTGAGACTGTGTGCAGTGAAAATATATTTTTAAAGGTGCACCCGTACTGCTAGTACACGACCACGTTTCTTGAGGCTGGAACTCTGCAAGGAGACGTTCCCGAGGCTGGAACTCTGCAAGGAGACGTTCCCTTCAGTGAGAACACTTTAATGCCATAGAATCATAGCTTGGGTTGGAAGGGACCTTTAAGCTCCCCCGGCTCCAACCCCCTGCCACAGGCACGGACACCTTTCACTACAGCAGGTTGCTCCAAGCCCCGTCCAGCCTGGCCTCAAGCACTGCCAGGGTGCGCAGTTCATTACCGCACACCGGCCGAGCACCAACACTTGGCCCCAGCTGGTGTCTGCTCCGCACTCAAAGACATCCACCGGGATTTCCGTTTGCTGCAGGCGCCTCCCGAACTCGTCCACCCCATTCAAGCTTCCCGCCAAGCGACAGCGCCGCTCACACCAACCACAAGTGCCCGTAAACAGGCTTTCCCTCCTCTCCCTTCCGTCCCGTTCCATGCTGTCCCGTCCCGTCGCACACCGGAGCAGCGCAGCAGCACCACCGATTACCGAGCGGCAGCAGCTGAGACGGGTTGCTGGTCGCGGTGGCCGCCATGTTGGACCCACGCCTGACCAATCGCTGCCACCTCCCGCTTCAGATGTGAAGGGCGGTGCGGCAGCCCCGATGAGCGGATGACAGAGCAATCGCTCCGCCCTTTTCCCCTGATTAAATACACTTACCCACCCTTCAAATAGCTCTTCTTTTCGCGGGGAGTGCCAGGGGGAAGGATTTTAATCGCTGTACGCCATAGTTATCTTTATTTCCCCACCCAGATTTGTTCATTAATTCACAAGTGGGCTGCAGCAAGAAGGATTTTTGGAAGCCCTTTTGGATACACACATGGCTTGGAGCAAAAATCACTGGCTGTTCGAACACGCTTTGCTTGCTTCATACTGCAGCACTGAGCAACCTGCTCTAGTGAAAGGTGTCCCTGCCAAAGGCAGGGGATTGGAAGTGGGTGAGCTTTAAGGTCCCTTCCAACCCAAACCAGTCTATAGTTAGATAACACTGGTATTTCAACACCTAGAGGCATCACACATTTTGTGCCAGGCTGCCTCTGGAAGAATCAAGCCTAAATAAATTCCATCCTCTGCCTTAGAGGAAATGAACCTTTGGAGGATGTAGAGCTGCTGGGTGCAGGGCGGCTAGCTCAGTTCTTGTGTGGTTAGTTCCCAGGCAAATCTGAATGTTCACAAAGTCAAATCCAACCTCTAGCATCAGCAGATGCCGCGCGGCTCCACACAGGATCACTTCACGGTTACCAAAGCAATGTGAGGAGAGGCTTGTCTCATAGCGAGGGTGCAGGGCTGTGTCTCTCCCTGGAGCAGAGTGCGTACAAAGTTAAAGTCAGGGTAGTTGTAATGATGACGTAAATTGGCACAGGCAGAGTGCAGAGACAGCCACAGAACCACAAGTGAAATGCATAGAGTAAGCTTATTTTCTTTATCTCACCAAACACAGGATCTAGTGAGCAGAACCCAGGCAGAGCCACTTAAGCAGGGACACAGGCATCACGGAGCTTGATCAATGCTGAAGGATCACCAGCACTGCTGTTTTCCCTGTCAATCATGGATTCATGCAGGCTTCATTTACCACTGTGCTTTGATCTTCTCCATAACAAGGCAGGAATTTCAAGTGTATCCGATAGGATGCCTCCATGTATATTATAGGCCTATGTTACCTAAATACAGATGCTCTGCTTGTCAAGCACACAAAGACAAAGCACAGACTTCACTGGACTGCGAACGTCCAGATCCTGATACTAAGCCTAAGGTACCAAGAGAGAAAGCTGGTGCTGGGCAACAGCTATACAGGGTGCCCTCTGCAAGTGACACCAACATGGCAAATCCACCCTTGCTTAGCCATGTAAACCTCCATCTCTGTACCACCACATAGGGCAGTGCTCTTAACCAACATGGATATTCTCAATTCCTCATCCACCTAAAAATCCATCTGTGTAAAGCCTCACAGGACAGCACTCTCTGGTGACCAAGATACCAGCTCCCTAAGTGCAAATGTCCAGATCCCAATGCTAAGACTAAGGTGCCAGGACAGAAAGCTGATGTTGGGCATCAGCTATACATGGTGCCCTCTGCAACAGTGACACCAATGGCAATCAGCCCTTTCTTAGCCATGTAAACCTCCATCTGTGTACGACCTTGCAGGCAGCACTCTCAGATGCTCCATAAACAAGGTCCCTAAGTGCAAATCTCCAGAGTTTTTTGCTGCCATGAGCAGCCATGAGCAGCGATGCCTCACACTTGACCATGTCACCCAAGGCTCTGTCCAACCTGGCCTTGAACACTGCTAGTGTTGGAGCATTTACCACTTCTTTGGGCACCCTGTGCCAGTGTTTCACCACCCTCAAAGGAAAGAACTTCTTCCTTATACCTAACCAGAACATCCCCTGTTTAAGTTTAAACCCATTACTCCTTGTCCTATCACTACAGTCCCTAATGGAGAGTCCCTCCCCAGCATCCTTATAGGCCCCCCTCAGATACTGGAAGGCTGCTATGAGGTCTCAATGCAGCTTCCCTTCTCCAGGCTGAACAGCCCCAGCTTTCTCAGCCTGTCTTCATACAGGAGGTGCTCCAGCCCCCTGGTCAACCTCGTGGCCTCCTCTGAACATACTCCAACAGCTCCATGTCCTTCTTATGTTGGTGACACCAGATCTGGACTTAACCGCTTTTTGTTGCATAACGTTTCAAGAACAGTATTACTGCTGTACACAAGTGCATTATAAATGCTATCAATGTTAGTCTCATCCCTCCTATACCTTAGCGCCAGGTTTTTTGCTTTCATTGAGCAGAGACCTTCACTGAACCATCCATAACAATTCTGTTCCATTTCAGAGCTGCTGCACTTAACTGAGAATCCTCTTAAATCTTAAGGACCCTGAAAATTGTAGAAAATAGACTGGACGGACTGGACGGGATGGTCAGAAGTATCGGTTCCCTTGGTAACCACTGGATGCTTTTAACAGCGCGGCTCCTTACTTCAGCCTTAATTGCAATAGTTGAAAAAAAGCAAGCACAATTGGAGAAGGGGAGTCATAGTGAAGGAAAAATTACTTCAGCAAATGCACAAAAGCACAAACAAATCATTACGTCTGTAGACCTTTTATTACTAAAACTGAGAGAAGGAAGGGGGCGCTCCATGCGTCAAGTCACCTTGCACAGAACCTGAACACTGCAGCAGCACAACACTGGAAGCCAATAATAGAGAGCATACCAAAAAAGAGTCATTCTCAGTGGAAAGGTGATTTTCTCCGAAGAACAACTTTTACACTTGCTGTCAAGTTGAAGAGGAGCCCACAGCAGAAAACAATACCTGACAGCAACCACAACTTGATTGCTTAGAAAACTGCTAACTAAGCACACAGAGTATTTATTTGCCTCTCCGAAATGTGCAACTTGCCATGGCAATTTAAGTCTGTGGGAAACTATGTCTATCAGAATCCACAGAAATGCTTACTCACTGCAACAATGTTCTGTGTCCTAATGAGACGCCTTTCCTGAGGCAGTACAGCATTACAAATACAGTACTTTTAGGTGCCCGCTTTCAAGTTGACTTTTCCCTGCATTTGCAGTAACACCAACACTGCAGACCTCTACCATTAAAAAAAAAAACCAACACAACTACTGTGTGAATATTGAAGTCCATTTTTAAGTCCATGTAATCAGTCACAACTGAGTACTGATGGACATCCTTTTGTTGACCATTCTTCCCTCGCAGAGGCTGTATCTTTAGGTAGACATCAGTAACAAACTGCAGAGGAGTGAAGTTTTTCCACATCTCACATAATGAACCAGGGAAGATCTGGGTCTGTGGAGAATTCCTGGTACTCTGAGTAAATATATTGTTAATGTGAAGGACAAGAAAGGCACTGGGGAAGGGGTGACTTCCCTTCACATCCCTCCCTCTCCCTTCTGATCCAGAACAACTTGTGAAGCCCTGACATGCTTTGCAAGGCTGCTGGGCCATTAGGTGAGCCCCAATTACACAACCGACTCCTTGGGAACCCCCAAACTCGATGCTGAACTCTTCCGAGTCCTTCTACCCCTTTCAGCAAGGTTCTCCTACCATGTCCCCTTGGTCACTTGCACCTGAGGCTGGCTGTGTTCCCACCAGCACCTCTGAGGACCCGCTCCATCCATCAGCTGATCCCAGTTCAGTGTCCAGGTGATGCTGTTTAAATCAGGGCAGGCTCCAGCCTAGAACACCTCGGGTGGGGAAAGACAGGGTTCTTGTTCTCAGCCAGGACCAGCTCTTACAGGAGTTAGGTGTGGAAAGGGCAGCAGTGTATGTTTCCTTTTGGAAGGAAGAGCAGTAGCAGCTCAGCCTGCAGAAAGAAGAAGGAACAGGGGAGAAAAGTGGGGGGGTTGGAAAACTCCACCAACCAGAAGGGAAAAAAAGGGTAGGGGAAAAAGGGGGAGGGGGAAGTGTGTGTGTGGGGAAAAATGTGGAACAAAAACCATGGATAAAATATAAATAAAATAATAATAAACTAAGGAGGAGTGTGGAGGAGAGGAGAAAAAGGCGGGGGAGAGAAACTGGGAAAAAAAAGAGGGCCCTCACCAACCGGTGGAGATAAAAAAGCGGGGGGGGGGGGGGGGAGGGAAAAAGCTGTGGGGTTGAAAAATGTGGAGCAAAAAACTGGGATGAAAAAAAAATCCTGGAATAAAGAACCCTGAAAAAAAAAAAAGGAGGGGGAACCCAAACAAACAGGAACTCCACCTAAAACCCTACCCCAGCTTGGTGCAAAATCCCAGCTGAAATAAAAAAGGGGGGTGAGGGATAACCCCAACACTGTGGGGAAGAAATCAAACAACCAGTGGGGGAAAAAAAAGTCGTTGGGGAGGGGGAATAACGTGGATAAAAAACAGAGATAAAATCCAGCAAAATATAAATGAAATAATAGTAATTTAAAAAATGGATAAAAGGAATAAAGAAAAAACAAAACGCAAAAAATCTTTGGGGGGAAGAAAAACCAGAAAAAAAAAAACCAAACTTCACAATCCCAGAAACCCAACAAAAAACACACCACATACCAAAAAAAACCCAAACAAACAAAAAGCACTCACCCGGGGGAAACCCAGCAAAAGAAAAGGAAGGGGAAGGGGGAAAACCCCAAGAATAAAAAAAAACACCAAAAAACCCCACCCCCTGGGGTTGGAAATGGCGGGGTGGAGGTGAAGTGTAGAGGGGAGGAGAAAAAGGCAGGAGGAGAAACTGGAAAAAAAGACACACACCCCCCTCCCTACCACCACCAACCGGTGGAGAGAAAAAAATGGTAGTGGGGGGGGGGAGGGGAAAAAACCCGGGGAGAGGTTAAAAAATGTTGGACAAAAAAATGTGGGAAAAAATACAGGAAAAAAAAGGAACATGGAAAAAATTAAAAACCAAACCCAACCAAACAAAAACTGCACCCAAAGCCCCACACCAACTTGGGGAGAAAAACCCAGTCTGAAAAAAAAAAGGGGGGGCGGGGGGGGGGGGTGGTGGGCAAAAAAACCCTCACGCAAAACCATCAATAAAAACAACCTCCCCAAAAAAACAAATGAACCCCCCCGGAGGGGAGGGGGGGGGAGAGAGGAAAACAAAAGGGGGGGGTGTCAAAAAATCCCCATCCTTGTGGGGAAAACC